TGAAGGACATCGAGATGGAGAGCTGCTGGATCCCCGGCACAGACACCTGCGCTCCAGAGGGCAGGAGGTTGTTCTTAAGGCACATACATCCTGCTTTTCTGCCTTGGAAGGAGGGGGGAACGGCCCCAGCCGCCAGACCGGAGCTGGAATTTCCCCCCAGGACAGTGCTGAGCTGGAGGCTCTCTTAACCCCGCTAATCCTCTTTGCTTAGGAGCTAATTACATTCCCAGCGAGAGCAGGACCCTTGGGAAGGGGGCAGGGAGGCACAGTCCGGAGCTGAACACAGGCTGCTGGCTGTCGGTCCCCGGCAGCGAGGGCAGTGAGGCAGGAGCCCGCCGCTCCTCCCTGCTCCCTTTTTAAGCTCTTCTCCGAAACGGATGTGCCGACACCGAAATAATTTTGGCACAAAACCTTTCCTGGGCTCTCCTTCTCTAACCCATCCTCCGGCTGCCGGCGGTGACGCCGTGTTCTGCACCAAGGCTGATCTCACGGAGCTGTTCCCCGCTCCCCGAAGTCCGTTTTGCCAGGCATTCCTCCCCGCAGCCGGGCGCAGGAGCTGCCGCGGCTGCTGCCGCAAGGAGGGCAGGTCAGCCCATCCTCAGCATCAGCAGCTCCAACCTGAGCAGGGCAGCAGCCCACCCCCGCGAGCTGTTCTGCTCAGGGAACAATTTTATGCAGCAGGAGCTCTTGGATTGTGATGAAAAGAGAGGTCTGGGGCTTTCCAGGCAGTATTCGATACAGTGATCACAAGCTCCTTGCAAGAAATCCATCTGAAAGGGCTGGTTTGTACCTGGCTGCAGGTGCAAGGGGAGCAGCAGAAGGGGAACATGTCCCATGAAGGGCTCAAGCAAACGCTGCTCCTGCATCCTGTGATACCACATCCAGGATAATCAGAGAATCACAGATTTGAAGGGACCTTAAAGCTCATTCCACGCCCCTGTCATGAGCAGGGACACCATCCTCTGGACCAGGTTACTCAAAGCCCTGTCCCACCTGGCCTTGAGCACTTCCAGGGATGGGAAGTCCACAGCTTCCCTGGGAAACCTGTTCCTGTGTCTCACCAACATATGATAGGAATATACTATATTATATATGCATGTAATGCATGTAATAAGGAGCCCAAGAGCATCAACTGGTGAGATCAGACAGGGCAAGGCAGCAACACCACCTATGACAACACAAGTGTTATAAAAGAAAAAGGGCTATTTTTACAATGCATGGGGAAAAAAGGGGAAAAAAAGCAGTTGTAGCATCTGGATGGTGTATGGTCAGTACCACAAATCAGTAAGAGGACCCTCCTGAGGGTCAGGTGCCCATTGGAAGTCACATCAAGGGAAAAAAAAAACGTTTTAGCATTTGGATGGGATACAGTGAGTACCACAAATCAGTAAGAGGACCCTCCTGAGGGTCAGGTGCCCATTGAAGTCACAGCCTGGCACCTGGGAATCAGCAGTGTTCTGCAGTGAAACTTGTCACTGCTCCTGTTTCAGCCTGGTTAATTAGGCAAAGGGGCATCCTGCCATGTTTATTTAGTAACACAACATGCATAGTTCATTTGTTCCTTAATACAAAACCCCTGGAGTCAGTTGGGGTCAACTGGGGTTACTGGGAGAACATCATGCCAGCACAAGGGCAATCACGCTGCAAGCCAGCTCTTGCCAGATCACTTGTTCCCTCAGCAGACTCTGCCATAAACAGGAGAGATTTCCTACATCCCCACCAAAATGACCCAGCACTTGGTCTTCCTGCAACAGAAACCTCTTCCCTTCCTGCATGGCATCGGGCTGAGGCTGTAGGGAATTTGGGAGAGTCCCAAGTGTCATCTCTGGCTTGAGAACATCTCATAGTACTGCTCCCAGGATGCAGCTCCTGGAGGAGGTGTGAGGAGGTGGGAGGAGGCTCCAGGCACCTGTACTCCTGGTATTTCACGTAAACAACTTATTTAAAGCTGGGTAATATGTATTATGGCAAGCATGCAGAGGAAGTGGAAGTCAGGCACGCTTTTGGGATTCCTCTGCTGGTCACCCACAGCTTCCAGAGCCGTGGGCCACCACAGTCCACACACTTCTCCTGGGATGTACTGCCAAAATGCCACCCTTGCCCCTAAACTCTTCAGCCCTAGGCTTCCAGTTCTCACCGGCACCTTCTGGTCATTCCCACCAAGACCCAAAGGCAGAGGAAAGCCAGCCTTGCTGGCAGATCTTCTGTAAACTGGGCTCAGAGGCACAACCCAGCTTCTCATGAGTGGGATACTCTCGGAGCATCCTTCACCTGTGTAAGCATCAGTCTGCAGTGGAGCAAGGACAATGAGAGAAGCACAAGTTACCCTTTTCTTTGGTGGCTCAGCACCTATGCAGCTCAGCCAGTGAGTTCACAGAAAACCAGCACTTTTAGTATTTTCTTCTCTTTTGGTAGGTTTGAGTGCACTTGGCTGAGCAGAGTGCTGGGGAGGAGGCAGCTCCTTGGATACCTCCCCAGGCAGCTGCAGAGGGTGGGAGGGGACGGCAGGGACACAGAGCCTCCGACTCCATCTTTAGATCAGGAGTGGGATGGGAATGAAAATACCATGGGTATAATAACACATCTTTTCAGGGAAATCAGGAGTTATAGGGGGTTGCAAATAGGGGCAACAGCCTTCCCCGCTTTCTGGAAGTGACAATACAACTTTTCTTGCAGGAAACACATTGTTTTAGCACTGTTTTATCCTTCTTCCAGAAAACCAGGCCACTGTGGGCCGTGCCCTCTCCCTCCCTGTGGCTGATGCTTTTTGGGCCCAGGGTGAAGCCTTGCCCAGGCTCCAGGGGTGCATACAGAGCGTGCTGCCAATCTCACCCACAGTTCATGCTCCTCTGCACTTACCAGGCTTGGGATCAAATCCCTCATTAGTTTTCACACAACTTCCAAGGGCAGCTTATAGCCAAGGTCCTAATTCATCAAGCAATTAATGGATCAAGCCTCACTACTTCAAAGACTGAGTTCTGGTATTTGCATGAACCTCAGGGCTTGGGACAAGCCCATGTGAGCTGCAGGCAAAAAGAGATCAGACCACAGAGCAATTTTCCCAGAAGATCAAGCAAACCTAAAGCCCAACCACATTAACAGACCTTGGAATGCTTTCCTTTCCTCAGAAAGTTTTTGTTAAAAACATCTACAGCACAAGTGTTGCGCTTCTTCCTCAACTCTTATAAAAATAAATCTCATAAACCAACTCAACCATGCAGAGCTGGACAAAGGTTCAGTGTAAGAGGAAACAAAACCCATGACAGCACAAGGCCTGGGTAAGACCTTGCTGTGGGTCTTCTCTCTGTATGAAGGCTCCTAGCTGTTGCAGGGATGAGCTGCAGCAAGAAGCACTAGGAGGAGCATACATGCCAGGGTGGGTTTGCCCAAGGGTGTCCAAAGCCATTTGCTCAAGAGCTCTGGGAACCTGGGCAGAGTCCAGCCTTCAAAATCTGAAATTTAATCCCAGGTGTCAGCTAGTGACCCTGGAGACAAGGGCTGAGGAGAGCTCACCTTTCCCTGGTACATGCAGAGATCACCATGTTACTGGCTACAACCCAACCCCAAATTAATTCTCTAATTAATTAATTAGCAGCCGGGTGCCAGCGAGCATTGAAGCCTTTTCACCAAGCCATGAGCTTTCTGAAGTCTGAGAACACATTGCTGCCCAGGGGCATGCCAACATGGGGTTCAGCCCTACCCAAAGAACAAACACTTGGACAGCTTTCCTCACTCAAGCCCCCGGGGCAGGGTGGAGGCAGTGGGGGAGCAACAGCAGGAGCAGAGCACTGGCACTGAAAACAGCTCTGTGTACACTGAGATGGCCACTTGGGGGTTTGCACCTCCACAGACATGCTGGGAAGGCATCTCCTCCACTGCCAACGTGACCACGAGCAGAGCAGCAGCAGCAGCAGCTTCAGGAAGAACAGAAAATTACTGGGTGTAATTGAAACTGCAGGGAGGAGCTAGGGACATAAAATGTAATTATCTGCCATGGAATGGATCCAAGATTAGCAATCCTACTTCTGGTCATTTCAAGTTCCCATTAACTTCTCCATGTGCTTATGTTATCAATTCTGTGGCTTAACTGTCTGTGAGATGCAGCACTTCCAGGAGCAAGCCCTGGGCCTCCACTGGTCAGGGTCTCAAATCACTTGTCCAGGAGGGGGTGAAGGGCCTGGAAGATGTCCCTCCCTAGTGTCCAAGGTGGAAGGGGTAGGGGGATGCTCCAGCTGAACCAGCTGCACCATTCTCCTCTCTAGGCACCAGTGGCTAGAATTGGCTGAGGTGCTTCTTGAGGCTTGGGAAGATGATCCATGTGGGCATCACAATTCAGACATTCTCAACTATAACATGTAAGATTGGGTGGATTTCAGACCATCTCAGCTTCCGTTCTCCTCTCCTTGCACTCCATCTCAGCAGGCTGCAGAATTCACCATCCAATTCACACCATACAACACTGGGCATGCCCACATCCACCCTATGCACAGCCCATTCCATTGTCCTGCACCCAGGCTCCTCTTGCTGAGCCCCTGACACTTTCTTCCCCTGTATCATCTTCCTTGCAGCCTCACCATTTGAGAATGCAGGAGCTGCAGAACATCCCTCACTGGCCTCATCTCCAGTCTGGCCAAGGCCTCCATCCACAGCCTCCAACAGGAGGAGGACCCTAGTTGGTGACTGGCACTTGCATGACCTCACCCTTGGACACCTTTGGGGAGCAGTGGGCACTGCTGGGGGTGCCCTTAACAACAGCCATGCCTTGTTTTGTTCCTTGCATGAAATCAGTGTACACACATGAAATCCATGTCTTTGCCAAGAGGTGAAGGACCATGGACTCCAGCCCTGCAGCCTGCCCCAGCAGGAAACTGGCTTCAGCAGTTTCTTAAAGGCTTTTTTATACACCTTTGAAAGCAAGCACCCCATCTTTTCTCCATTTTAAGCAAGGAGAGAGCACACACCCTTGGATCAGAAGACACCCTCCCTGCCAGCCCCCTTACCTCCACGAGGTGAGGCGTGGGGTTGAAGCCGCACATGTTGCAGACCTGCTGCCGGCAGGTGGTGCAGCTGTTGTAGTTGGGGGGCTCACTGGAGCCCACGTTGATCTCCGCCTTGCAGAGGGGGCACGAGACCCTTGCTTTCGGCACTTCCTTTGGCTTGACACCCTGCTCCGGCTTGCCCGGCTTCGCCGCCGCCGCCGCACCAGCCTGGCCCTGCGCCCCCGGGGCTTTGGGCCCAGCCTCTTTGCTGGCGTCGCTGAAGACAATTTTTGGAGGCACTTTGCCAGGAGACGGCTGGCTCGGAGCAGGGGCCTCTGGCTGGACAGACATGAGCGTGCTGGCCTGGGTGAGGAGGGATGCCCCGAAGCCGAAGAGCTTCCCTGTGAGCCCCTCCTGGGGCTGCTCTGGTGCTCCAGCCCCCGGGCCCGGGGCAGCAGGCTTTGCCCCTGCATCTCCTGGCGTCTTTCTCTGCTCAGAGGGGGAAGGCTTGGCTTGCTGATGCTGCGGGGAGGGCCTGGCCTGATGCTGCGGGGAGGACCTGGCCGCCTCCTGAGGTTTTGGCTGTCCTTGGCCGTGCGGTTCCCTCTGCGGCGTTGTGGGCTGAGGTTTGGGTTGCTCTTGTGGCAGGGGCCGGGGGGCTGGCGGGGTCTTATCTGCAGCCGGGGGTTGCGGGTGCTTGGCTGGGGACTGGGAGGGGGATGGTGAAGGGGAGTGCAGCTGCTGCTGGCTCTTGGAGCGAGGAGCGGTGGTCATGTCCATCCCCAGCGCCCGCTGCATCTGGCAGTTCAAGCACAGCCATTCCTTCACCTGCGAGACAAGGAGAGGACGTGGGCAGTGAGTGATGGGCAGGTACAGCTGCCTGCAGGTAGCCCCAGCACACCCTTACCTCTCCCCAAACACACCCCACATAGCCACAGAAACCAGTCATCAGCCCCTGAAAAACATTTTGGTACCATGTTCTTGGCTAGCAGTACCTTGCAGTCAGGGCAAGCAGCCCCCATCTGTCACAGGTACCCACGGCACAGCATGCCGGCGTGAACGCCAGCTTTAATTAGCCTTGGTCTGCTTCCAAGGCTTCTGCTGTGAACTGACTGCTTGCCATGAGGCTCTGCCTCTCCTGGGGGAAGAGGGGCCTTTCCGAGGGCTCACAGCTCCACCAACTCCCCAAAGCCCATTTTCTCCCTCCTGCTTGGTGACCAGAGATACCAAAGAGAATAGCCAAGCCCAAATGAGGAAACACCACTGTGCCATGCTCGGCGCTTCCCTGGGGCTAGCAGAGATGGGTTTTCTGGAATCAGTGCAATGGTTGTGATACTCCATCTCAAAATTTGGCTCTGGAATGCTCTAAGGGAGTGCAAAGAGTGCTGCTCCTTGCACAATGCACCTGCACTTCCAGGAAGGGAAGTGCAGGCTGGGGAGCAAAGGGTTAATTTTCACTCTCACCATGATGAACTTTTGCATGCAAATGAAAAATAGAACAGTTCCCTGGCTAAGTGGTGATAAACGAAAGACTTTCCCCACGAGAGATGTTCCCTGTGACACACTAATGTCTAAATTAAGTTAATTAAAGAGGCTGTAGAGCCTTTCCGTATGAGGAATCACCAGGATGCTCAGCAGCTACACAAGTATTAATATACAGCACAGTCAGCAGGACAGCCAGGTCTGCTTCCAAAAGACTTCTCCAAGACAAGCAATTAAGGTGGCAAAAAGGACCAGAACATTTCCAAAAACCAGAGCAGCACCCAAGACAAGCAGACACAGAGCTTGGCAGGAGCAGCACCCAACCTGGCCCTTGTGCTCTCTGGGGGCTGCACATCCCACAGGCCTGCACCCCCTGCCAAGGTGTGGATTTTCCTGCCTTTCATTCTGGGAGCCATCTCTTCATTCCAGTGTTACGGATCACCTCTAAGGCTCAGCTTAATCCCTGCTGCAAAGACATTAATCACCTTGCCAATCCCGCAGCTCCAGGTCTGCTTGGCCTTTTGGTCCTGCAGTTGGAGGCATGGGTGATTCATAACCTGGCCCCAGGATTTTTCCCCCTACACTCCAACCACACAAACAGGCACATTTCAACCTTTTTATGCTCGCAGGAGCTGCCTGCAGAGATGCAGGGTGTCATTGTAGGTCTCATGATGGGATATGATGACAAGTCCTCAAGAGGTGAGGCAGATAAGCCCTAAACCCCTCCTGACAAGTCCCCTTCGCAGAAGGGTTCTCATAAAGGCCAGCCTTCAAATAATGAAGTTGTAAAAACAGAGGAAAGTCAGATCAGCTAGGAAAGATGGTTGAAATTCATGGGGGGTGGATGAAAGCTCCACCTGCCCACTGCAGCCCTTCCCCTCTCCACCCAGCACACGCCGGGTGCCAAGGCTTGGCACTGCCTCCAGCAAAACTCTCCCCATCACCTTACAAGCCTGGCTGCACATCAGCTCTGTGCTTTTCCCAGACTCCCCTGTACTTGCTGAGCTCCCACGCCACTCTCTACACCAGCCTCCGCTCGAGTCCTTCACTTGGAGCCGAGGGAAAACAGCCTCAATTTTCCCCAGCAATTTTGTGCTACATTGTCGCTTCTCCAAGCTGTTCCAAAGGAGCCACATTATATTTAGTTCCTGAAAATAGTACTTTAGTTTTTATAATTTCTTAGGGTCTTGCTGTTTCTCTTCTGACATCAAGAATTTCTTGCGTTATTTTTGCTTTCACACCCCCTGGAATTTTTTCCCACAGTTCTATTTCAAGAGAGTGTCTACCAAAATCCCATCAGCTTTGCCCACCATCCCCATCAGCTCAAATTAAGGGAGAACCAATCCTTTCTATTCAGTTTCTTGTTCCCAGGATGCAAGAAATTCAAATCTTCCCTCTCCACATAATCTCCTTACCCGCACTTTAAGACCCTTACTGAGGTGGAAAGTGGGGGAAGAGGAGATCCACTCCCTCCCTGTGCCACACAGAATCCCCCACTCTGCCCTTGGCCAAGGCTCCTCAGGAAAAGCTGGGCAGTGGGAGGTGCCTGGGGCCACAGGAGCTGTGCATGGCTCATGGACAAGCCCACCAGGACCTCCCTCAGCTCAGGGCTGAAGAACAAGGGGATCATTGTAACTTTCTCACTTTTCACAATGAACCTACCACCCAGATAGGAAGAAGCCAGGGGGTGTTTTAGATGGGATAGGAGCATCCAATTGCCCTTGGTGACTTGGTGAGGAACTGCTGAGGAACATCTGTCCTGGGGAGCAGGGGAAAGCTGCAGGAAATGCAGTAGGGCATGAGCTCCCAGAGCAAGCATTTGAAATGTAAATTGAGTTGGGATTATCACAAATTGCCTGGCCGGCCTCCACTGATGCAACTGATGACACACCGTGTGGGTTACACAGATCAAAGACAACTTAAAGGATGCTGCAGGGAAGATAGCAAAGAGGAAGGGCTGAGTTGTCTTGCCAAAGATCCTTCCCCCAAGGAGGAGAAAGGAGAAGGGAAAAGCCTGGATGATAAAGAAATAGTAGAAAAAAATCATTCTTTTCATACTCTTTTCCCCTGTTTCTCTCTACTGTTTTATGGGCATCTTCCCTCTGCATGATGAATCTGCAAGCTAGAAGAGAAGCATTTAGAGGATAATAATGCAAATAATGAAATAATCCCATTCCATCTATTTCTGTGTCCTGTTTGCCCAGTTCTCCACCAAATCAGAAGTTTCAGGGTTTGGATTAGTAAAGATTTACACCCAGACTCTTCCTAGAAAGGATGGAGGTCCATCACTGGGTGGAGATGGAAGAGATGCTAATGAGACAGATATGATGGACATGCTGTAATCACTGTCCTGGAACATTTGGGAACAAGAAGGATTACACTCGTTATGAGGATGAAGCGTTTCCATCCTATTAGCAATTGAGAAGAACATTCAACAACATCTACCAGCACCAGAAGATATTTAAATTTGGCAGAACTGAATAATTTTGCATCCAAGAGCTCTAAGAGAACTAAGAAAACTGCTGCGTGCTGATGTTCATTTTTAAGAGGAAATTTTAGGAGGCTGGAAGAGTCTTCTGCTTGAAGAAGGCAAAGGTATGGCCTGCAGGGGACAGGGAGACAGACATCTGTCCAAGGCAGAAAACCAGTGCAGAGAACTGAAGGACACACAAATACATCCATCAACATGGGTTTAGGAAAAATAGGTCACAGCAAAGCAAACCTGATTTTATTCTCTGCACATCTGATATTAGTAATGCACAGAAGCAATATCCTTGATGTCCAAAAGGTGTTTTGACCTAGTATTGTATGACATGCTGACAAAAATAAAAAGCACTATAGAATATGAATAGTGAATATGCTAAATGGATTTCAGACTGGTTACCTGGCTGAGCTGGGGGCAACAAGAATTCACCACTGCCAAGGTATCATCATCTCATACGGGCAGCACCACTCACACACAGTGGGTTTTGGTAAAACCACAGAATCAGAATGGTTTTGGTTGGAAGGAACTTTAAAGATCATCTTGTTCCAGCCACCCATATCTTAAATATCGATGAAGATGAGTCTCTACTGCCTAGCAAACCTGTGCTTAATCCATGCAGGAAGCCTGGAGCTGGAAGCAGGAGTGAGGAGGTGGCTCAGCCTCCTCTTCCAGCACCAAGGGACTCCTTCCAGAGCCCTCCATGGTTCCACGCCGACATTTTAAGGAGATTAGTAAAACACAGGCCGGATCTCTAAGAGTGATTCTAGGCATGCAGAAAATGTCTGAAGTGAGAGAATTGAAGAGGTTGATCTTTTTCGTTTATCAAAGAGAAGATTAAGAAGTGACTTGATTACGATATAGCAGCATATTCAGTGGAAACAATATCAGGTAATAAAAGGTTGTTAATTAGGCATAAAAAGGCATAAAAAGAACTAATGACTGGAAGTGGAAGCCAAATATATTAAGCATCACTTTTAACAGCAGATGTTTCTAACCATTAAAGCAAATTATACACATGCTGTTGGGCTCAGCAGAAGACTCAGGGAGGTAAAGCTTGCAGGCCTTTCATCTATAGCCTATTTTATGCCTGTTCTGGTCTCACAAGCTTTGATAGCTTGAACCATCCCATCTGTGTGGACATTTGGATGTTTGTATCTGATACCTGACCTGCCCCAGCCTGCATGCAGTTCCCAACACACATAGGACCACCAGCCTTACCTTTCCCACCACAGAGCCCTCTAACAGCCTAGAATATTCCTCAAAACCCCCTTCCAAATCTTATTATTCCCCAATGCACGGGTAGGTCAGCAAGTGGCAGTGCTTGCTGGGTCACAGCTGCCAGATGTGCCTCCCCCCTCAATGCTGTCCTGTGAGCACCGACTATTTGCAAATCCTGTTAGGAATGAAAACTTTCCAATCAGTGTTTTCTTTAAAAAAATTGCAGCAGGAATATCCACAGCACGTGCTGGCTCTGCCCAGTGCAGATTTAAACATTGATAAGAATTATAAATTGAATACACATATACACACACACATATAAAATTACAGGCATGGTGGGCTAGATTGTGACCCCCTGCAGAGCAGGTACATAATAGGGGGGAAAAAGATCCATCCCAGTGCACTGTGGTTTTTAAAACATCTAGAAAAACATCAAGAAAAGCACATGGTTAAAAAGGATCTGAAATTATACAGACACAGCTTGAGTCTGTAAGGCTGCTGCAGTTATTCTAACACCACCTATTTTAGGAGGCTATGTGAAAATAGCCCATCCCCAGTATTTGTTACCAGGAGATGTGAGGGAGTGCTGGTTATGTGCAGGTTGTTTTGTTCCCCTCTGGTAAGACAATACAGCTCTAAAAGT